CTCCAGACTTCAGCTGTCTTCTTTAGAGCACGCTCCCACAGAGAATACTGGGAGCTACTTCACCAGGGAAAAATACATGCAGGGCTTCTTCCTTCAGGTTTTCAGGGTAGGGATCAAAATGTTGAAAAAGGATCATACTAGCAGTGACAGGAGGAAGCTGTGCCTTGGTATGGAAAGAAGAGCGAAACAAAACAGAGAACAGATTTTTCCCCAAAGTAAACTGCATTTCTGATGGGTTCTCTTTTGCCATACTTGGAAAACCTAACATATGGAGGTACTAGCCCATGATCTGGAGTGCCTAGGCACTGGTACAATAGAAATAAATTAGAATTTACTTGGTAATTAAATGGCTGGTCATGAAAGGGGCTATGGTGGGGTGTTGATGTTCAGAACATTTCCTAGAATGGGATAGAACACGAATTTCAAAAATAACATGGTAATTTAAAAGGACAATTTCCACTGACGGTGGGATTGACATTCCTAAATCAGCACTCATTTTGCTGTGTTACAACTCCACCACATCGCCCGTTCATCATATGTCACGGGGTCTCCAAGAACAGCCATGTCAGGGTACAGTAGACAGATAGAGAGGGTGAAGCAAGAGGTAGATGACTTCAGATGGGCAGAGCAATGGCTGCTGGTAAGCAAACCGTGCTGGTTGAGTACGAGTCATCTTCCAAATGTGATTAAAAGTTTTCTTTGAAGGTCAACAGTATGATCAGTGGAAGAGTCTGCTCAGAATTACACAGACTCATGCACCACACAGAGCACCTGCACGTGTGGTGACAACAAGCAGATGTTGGACCGTGCATCTGAGAGTGGGCAGCTGTCTTAGGGTGCTTTAGATATATAGAAGAAATTGGCAGATTTATATCAGACTTTGGCCAATCCCTGAAAAACGTAGCCCTGTTTATTTCTGAACAGGGATCAGTGAGAAGCCAAACCCCCTTGGTACCCTGAAAGAAAAAAAAAAAAAAAGAGTGGGAGGTGCTGATGTCTCTTCTACACTTCTGTGAAGCTGAAGTGTTGGATTTATGCCACTGCCTCCTGTAGCCAGATGCATGCATTTATCCAAGTGAGGGCTTACATGATTTGGGGTTGTGTGTAAAGCGTGAGGTGATGTCAGACAAACAAATATCTGCAGTGTCCAGGGGGAGGTCAGTTTGAGTCTCAACACCTGTGAGACAATTCTCCATCCTCTGTACTAGCAGGAGAAATAAATACCAGAGCCAGACCTCTGCCAGCAGTGTCATGCTATCTTGGGAAACACTTTCTAGACTGTTTGGAGGTTGCCTCCTCCAGCTGACAACCCATAATTTTATATATGAGAGGTGAAGAGATCCACAATTTTTAATGAGGGTGACATTTCTTAACAACCTCAGTGCTCTGAAGGCACAGACATTACATCTGTCTGTGAATCAACTAAGCAGAGAACTGTTGCTTTGAATAATGTATTGCCCATTGATGCATTGTTAACCCAGGAAATTATTCTCAGGTGAGAAGCATAATCTTACTTTTTCTCTCTCTCTTTTTTTTTTTTTTTTTTTTAAAGAAAAAGGCAGAATCAGTAAAAGATGCTGCAGAAACTGGATGGGAATATTCTTCTAGCCCTGCCTAAATAGTGGGCAACTTGAAAATAAGTTACAGATCAAGTTAATTTCTGGTGTAACTTAAGGGGAAGCCAGGTGCCTAAATGGGGGAGTTAAAAAAAACAACAGAAGAATAACATGATGAGAAAAGAGTAGTTCTGGCACAGCACCACACCAAGGGGTATGAGTGGTGACTGTGGGTTGAATATTGTTTGAAAGTACCATCAAAGGTAGATTAAAGTCAGGAGTATTGTGAGAGGAAATGGATAACTAGCACAGCAAGAGCAGTTACTCCAGGGGCTTGCTGCTGCTTATATGTGCACAGCTGGGGCCTCTAAGGATGGGAGTCGTTTTGGAAGAGATGAAAGGTCATGTCAAGTTGATTTAGCACCTATAAGTGCTGTTGGTATGTTGCTTAGTCCCTAATCTGTGAGGTAAAGAGCAAGAAGCTTGCGCTATTTGCTCAGGTGAAAAATGTGGCTTCCCCAGCACAAGCACCAATTAAGAGCATTTCTAAAAATAGAAATCTAGCCTGATGTATATGTTTAAAAGAAACCTATCTTCACAATGAGATCCAGGCTTCTCTTTGATTATAGTATATTCTCAGAATGTACTGAAATTTAAATCAGTTCTTAATCTCTGGTGAAATATGCTTTTTTATGCATTTAATTTCCATTTTGTGGCACAAAGCTGAGTTCTTGAGTGTGTTATACACTACTGGGACAAGAAACACAGTACAAAGAGCACCAGATACAGTAGTTCCCTGCAGTCTCATAAAGTTCTGTACAAAAAGGTACAAATACAGGAGGTATTAAAGTTGGAAAATTAAATGCAAAGTTTTTTGGTTTTAAGTTTGCAATGTGAAATAGCTCATGCTATATATAATACGTGAGGAAAAAACAGTCTGCTTTCAAAATGGATAAAGTAGTCTGCAGGGAAAGAGAGAATTAGCAACTGATGAAAGTCAATGAATAATAAACCAGGCGATAATACAAAATCTGAACATACATAAAAAGCTTAATCACAATCTATATATAGAGTTTGCATCTCAGGAAAATAATGTAACATATTGCTTCTCAAGGACGTCTCCGACTCTCATAATAGCCTAGATTTGTATTAGAAATCAAGATTCTCTAACAGTTTATTCCTGGCAATAAAGTAAGTTGCCTCATTTGAAATATTACCATAATCCTCATTGAAGCAATTCATAGCTCTCAACCGAAAGAGAGTAGGAGCAGCATTTTCACTGGTGCCAGGAAGGTGACAGTCACAAGGCAGGAGAAGCACATGCCAAGTGTGTTCGATGTTCTTCATTAAACTGCCTGTCCACAGTAAGTAGATTTCTGACCACAACAATTTTCAAGTTTCAGACACTGGAGGAAGCGGCCCACTAGTTCTCTCATCCTTCATTTCTGACCTGCTGTTTTATAGAATTGAAGATGCCCTGCTCTTACAAAACAGTGATTGAAGAAGCCTGGCAAAAGTACTGACTACTCAAAAAGTACACTACCTCTTCCCCCCACGTGAGGCTTTGGAGAGGTCGAATTTTTCCTTCAAATTGTCATTCTTCTGTAACTTGTATTTAATGAGAGATGAGGATTCTCAGCAGTTTCTGTATTGAGCCCTAGAATGGAGGTTACTTCATAAAACGGCAGGGAGGGTGTGCCTCATTCTTCCTTACCTATATATTTTGAGGGACCTAAGTCAACAATATTACTCAAATCAGAACAATTGTTATCCTCCTCAGTGAAAAGTTCTGTTAGTCATAAGCAAACATTAAAACTGCTGTACAAAGCGATACAATACTCTACAATGCCAGCTCAAACAGATTAAATCTAAGCAGAAGTAATGAAGGAAAAAAAAGGCTACATCCCTTAGGATGGTCAGGGGAACACAACTTGAAAAAGAAAACTAAAAGGAAACTTGGCAGGTATAATCCTGTGAAAGTACACATGTAAGGGCACAGGGTTGATGCCTATAAATACACCGTGCATGCGAACACGAAGAGGAAAATTAAATACTTAAGGTAAATAAGAGTGGTGGCATGAGAAAAAAAAAAAAAAACGGATATAAATCAGCCATTAATAAAATTATGCTAAAAGTTGCACAAGCCTTGGAAGGCAGCACAGCTCTGCAATGCTCTTCCGGAGGAGGGGGGAGCAAAAATCTGACTACTTTTAACATGGAGTTAGTTAAGATTATGAATGGAATTCCTGTGTACTGTGTAAAGTCATTGTCATGATAATAAGAACATATTAAATTTCGGTACTTTATTTATTTAGTGTCTTTGATCCAAAGCACTTATATAAAAAAGCAATAATGAAAATTCCTTTCAGCCAGTACAATAAAAGTCATAATTCCTTGGGGTATTTCATTTTCTTTAGTAAAACGCAATTTGGACACGTTCCATTCAATATTTGCAGAAATGACAGAGCATCAGCCCTACGAATAATAATAAACCTAGAACATAAGATAAGCTATAGGTTATTGAAATGATGTGTTGCAAAGTTTGGATCCAACCTTTGCAATGCTAAACTAGCAACAGCTGAGGGAATTTGTGACTCTTTGGCAATTTTACAGGTCTCTTCAAGTAACTGCCCTGAAAGTCATTGGTTTTCAACTCTGTGAATCTACTGCTTGTGAAACTGAGACAAAACTGCTGCTTCTCCAGAAGAGCTGGATTCTCTGAAGGCCCCCAGCCCACAGACCTAGTGAGAACTTGCAGTGTCCTTGACATCAGTGGGAGGGTTTGCTACCCTTGCAGCATGTAACCCGACTGGAGTGTACGTGCTGTGCCAGCCCAGCTCTTCCTTCCCTTCCTTCTTTCATGGTATTTCAATCCAACAGGCAACCTGGTGCTGTGCCGTGTTTTGGGTGGGTGTTCATAGGTGTGTGGTAGTTTACACACATGCAATATGGACCAGGGACAAGACTATTGAATTTATGCCTGTGACCCAGCAGAGAACTTGAACCAGCCCTCCAGATGTGAAATCCTTAGCAAAACATTTCAAGTTTGGACACCTAATTTGGGTTATCTAGGTCTACCTTCAGGGCCACATATATGGCTCTTCAATTTTCAGGGGGACCAAGCAATTTCTTGCCTATTGACTTTGTAACTTGTGCAGGCTATGTTGAAATCTCCAAGAATTTTACCTGGTAAGGTTGGAAAGGACTCATTTCCCTCACACTTCATGGCCTAACTCAACTACTAACTGATGTGAGGGGTGGGTGTTCAAAGGAAATGGTGGTGGTGGGGTAAGTTATTTCATACTGTGTATTCTGTAATAGATCACTGGGCAAACAGGAATCTGATACTCTGTGCTCAGCTTTCTGGTTTTAGATGGAGTTGATACAGCAAGACATCAAAAGATCCAGCCCAGACAGCAACCTCTAATAGCCTAAAAAAGGGAATTGCCTATTCATACCATCACGGCTTTATTCTGCCAGTTTGGCCACTCCTTGTGGTATACAGACACAGGCTTCCAAACATGACAATTTTAGCTTTACTATTTTATTTTTCTGAACCTCTCTAGTCTTCACAAGTAAAACTAAAAAAAAATTAAAATAATTAATTGGAACAGTGTATGTAATAAATGGGATGGAAAAGCAGTAGGATCTGAAGAGAAATGCTGTTCTGCTCACTGAGTGCCAGTAATTTGTTTTATAGCACAGGTCGCTAGAAGTATAAAGAGAGGGAAGCAGTGGCTTCTGCCTGTTGGCTACAAGTGTTTGATCTCTCTACAGTTGTGTAAGGGAAGTGACCAAGCACTCAAAAAATAAGTTTATGCAGATTCATGATTACTTTTGAAAACCCAGATGATCTGCTCTCTCACATATTTTATTACAAAAAAAAAAAAAAAAAACCCAAACAAAAACCCCCCAAAACAAGCCAGCCATTGAAAGGATTTAAATTGACTATGTCACAGAAGCAGGTAGGAGGATCTGCCCACAGTGAGTGCAGTATTAAGCTCTTTTTCTTTATCTGTTCCTTTCTTAAGCCCTTATATTCTTCCTTAGCTGTAAGTTGTGAGTTCCTTTCTGAGGGAAAATGTGACTTTTAGGGGTTTTTTTCTTCAGAGTTTCCTTGGCAGAAAGCTTAATGGAATTGTCTGCCATCAACACCTGCTTTCAAATTTTCCTGATAAAATTAGATTTTATATCTCAGCATCACATATGGCATCTTTATAATTAGTCTTTTTGCAGTATATGAATGTCAATTCCTAAAATGCTGCCTGTACTGTTCATGTGGGAATATTTCACTTCATTAAACAAATCCATGTTTTTCATTGGAGCTTCTAATTGTTGAAAACCCACATTTTTGTGTGTCTGATCTCAGAACCATTTTGACAGACTGAAATACTGTGTATCTTCAGCTTCACTGAAACTGAGCTGTGTGCAGATCACTTCTGGAAATGGGAACCTGATGTCTTCATAGGCCTCCATACCCAGAGTCACTTGTGGAAATGTAGTCTTTGAATATGTGGCTATCTGAAAATGAGGGGTGGGCTTCTCCAGAGGGCTCAGTATTGACCTAATCTTAGAAGCAGAGGTAGGTCTACGCTTAGGAGCTTCTGACAAATATTACCATACATAACATTTCAGAACAAGAACACCCAGTTTTTAACAGACGTGCTCAAGAGCAAGCAAACTTCCATTGAAATGTAAAGCTGAGAGGTGTTTTCAGACATATGATGATCAGAATTACTGGTCAGAAAGATGGGGAAGAGTGTTCCCGTGTCAGTGATTCACAGGTGACTGTTTTAAACTGTTGTAAAATGCAGGGGAAGTCCTACTCTAGTACAGATACCAGTATAGGTGACAGGTGACTTTTTCATTACTCGTGTCACAGCTGAGAAGTTTTATTTTGCTTGGGTACGTTCATTTCTCTGCTCAGATGAGGAAATGCACAAAGTAACAGGTCATCACTATACCACTAGCACTAACGTCATGGAAGTGGTAACATTTGTATGGAAAAGTCAGCATTTAGTACTTATGCAACAGGATGAAAATGTGCAAACTGTCAACTTGTAATAGAAATGTTTTTAGTTTCTCAAGTGCAAAGGTAGTGCAGTGTCAGCAACACTATTCTCTAGGGAAAAAAAAAAAGGTAAATAGGAAAACATTTATAAACATAGCTCTTGATAGCTCTCATGCAAACTGCTGTCAAACTTGTACACTAATGCAGTGAATCGTTCAGGCTCAGCTCACTGGGGGTACTCCTGCTCATATTGGTAAGACTGGCCATAAGGGATTTAACTTTATAAGCATAGTAGTCCCTTAAGTTGACTGATGGAACTTCTTTCATGCCATCACCAAAATCACAGCTTCTCATGGCACTCTCTAACTGCTTCTGACGCCTATAAAAGTGGGAGAATTTATTGAAGATCAGTGTAATGGGAAGCACTACCACTAGGATACCAGCTAGGATGCATGCAGATGCTGTCAACTTGCCAGCAGTGCTCCCTGGCACAACATCCCCGTAGCCAACTGTGGTCATGCTAACAGTAGCCCACCACCAACAAGCTGGGATGGTGGCTAACCCCTCATTCTCTTCTTTCTCAATGGTGTAAGCCACTACTGAGAAAATGGAGATGCCAACAGAGAGGTACAGTAAAAGAAGCCCCACCTCCCTGTAGCTATACTTCAGGGTGGCTCCAAGAGACCTGAGACCTGTGGAGTGCCTAGCAAGCTTTAAGATGCGAAAGATCCTCATGAGTCTCAGGACTTGTGCAACCCTGCCTAAATTTGCTAAGGTCGGACTACTTTCCACCACCAAGTTGACAATTAAGGTAATATAAAATGGAAGGATAGACATTAGGTCAATCAAATTCAGGGCATGCTTGAAAAATTTTAAAAAGTCAGGAGCTACTGCAAATCTCGCCACCAGTTCAAAAGTGAACCATGCAATACCAAAATGTTCCACGATTTCAAAGCGAGGGTCTTCCTCAGGGTTCCCGTTGCTGTCAACAATCTGAAAGTCTGGGAGGCTGTTCAGGCACATGGTCACGATGGAGCCCAGCACCACCACTATTGAAAGAACACTGAAGATTCGGCTTAAGACTGAGTACCCAGGATTATCCAAAGCAAGCCAGAGCTGCCTCCTGATGTTTCCAAAGGGTTGTTTGTCAAATTTAGAGGCATCATTGTAGAATGCCAAAATCTCATCAAAAGAAGACGTGGTACTTTCCTGGTCACTTTGTTCCTCCCATTTCTCTTGGTCTGGCTCCATCTTCCTCCCGTGGTAGCTGTAACTGCAGCAGGAGTCTATAAAGAATTCATTGATTCCCCAGTATTCAATCTCCTGGCTGAAAGAAAACACGCAGAGTTCACCCATCACATGGAGCTTGCCGGTGTTATAAAAATGTAGCACATAAGGAAAGAGCTCGGGGTTCCTGTCAAAATAAAATTCATTCTTGGTGTCATCATAGTCATCGCAGAGCTCCAGTATCGACTCCTTTGAGTGGCAGCTCAGCAGTTTGCCCAGCCTGGTCTCAGGGAACCTTAATAACATGTTGGATCTCATCTTTTTCTTAAAGCCTCCAACGTTGATGCTGATCTCATTGTCTTCAAAATTTGCTTCAGATAAAGCCTTCAGACTCTGCCCTGTCATAGTGAGCTCCTTCCAAAGGTGTATCGGGAATGAAAACCTAGGATGAAATTGAACAGAAAATCAGCAGAATGAGCAAATCTACAGCGTGTTCACCTAGTGATGCTTCCTTTCTTTTCTATTTTCTTTCTCCTTTTCTTTTCTTTCTCCTTTCTTTTCTATTTTCTTTCTCCTTTTCTTTTCTTTCTCCTTTCTTTTCTATTTTCTTTCTCCTTTTCTTTTCTTTCTCCTTTCTTTTCTTTCTCCTTTCTTTTCTATTTTCTTTCTCCTTTTCTTTTCTTTTCTTTTCTTTTCTTTTCTTTTCTTTTCTTTTCTTTTCTTTTCTTTTCTTTTCTTTTCTTTTCTTTTCTTTTCTTTTCTTTTCTTTTCTTTTCTTTTTTCTTTTCTTTTCTTTCTTTTCTCTTTTTTCTTTTCCTTTTCTTTTCTTTTTTTCTTTTTTCTTTTTTCTTTTTTCTCTTTTCTCTTTTCTTTTCCTTCCTTCCTTCCTTCCTTCCTTCCTTCCTTCCTTCCTTCCTTCCTTCCTTCCTTCCTTCCTTCCTTCCTTCCTTCCTTCCTTCCTTCCTTCCTTCCTTCCTTCCTTCCTTCCTTCCTTCCTTCCTTCCTTCCTTCCTTCCTTCCTTCCTTCCTCTCTCTCTTTTTCTTTCTTTCTTTCTTTCTTTCTTTCTTTCTTTCTTTCTTTCTTTCTTTCTTTCTTTCTTTCTTTCTTTCTTTCTTTCTTTCTTTCTTTCTTTCTTTCTTTCTTTCTTTCTTTCTTTCTTTCTTTCTTTCTTTCTTTCTTTCTTTCTTTCTTTCTTTCTTTTTCTTTCTTTCTCTTTCTTTCTTTCTCTTTCTTTCTTTCTCTTTCTTTCTTTCTCTCTCTCTCTCTCTCTCTCTCTCTCTCTCTCTCTCTCTTTCTTTCTTTCTTTCTTTCTTTCTTTCTTTCTTTCTTTCTTTCTTTCTTTCTTTCTTTCTTTCTTTTTCTTTCTTTCTCTTTCTTTCTTTCTCTTTCTTTCTTTCTCTTTCTTTCTTTCTCTCTCTCTCTCTCTCTCTCTCTCTCTCTTTCTTTCTTTCTTTCTTTCTTTCTTTCTTTCTTCTTTCCCCTTTCTTTCTTTCCTTTCTTTCTTTTTCTTTCTTTTCTTTCTCTTTCTTTTTCTTTCTTTCCCTCTTCCCTCTCCCCCCCTTTTTCTCCTTTCTTCTCCCTTTTCCCGTTTCCCCCCTCTTCCCTTCTCCCACCTCCCACTGAAGACACTCAGGGCGGCTCCTTTGTTCCCGCCGCAGACTCCTGTCCCTCCCCGTACCCTTCACCTGGGCTGCGGCTCTCGCTTCTACGACAGCCCCCTCCTCCGCACCCCCCCCCCCCCCCCCCCCCCCCCCAATTACTCACGGCCTTTCTGCCACCGGGTCCGCGGGGACCTTCCCCTCTCCCTCGCCGCGCCCCGGCCCCGTCAGACGATGTCCCCCCCGGCTGCCGCCGCCCGGGTCCCCGCTCCCCCACCCCCCCGGCTCTCCCAGCCGCGCCTCAGGGGCCGGAGCCCCGCGCCACCGCCCCCGCCGGGGGCTCCGCTCTGCCCCGGGGGCGCCACCGCCCCCCGCCCGGCTCGGGTGGGCTCCCGCCGCGGCGGAGCCGCCCCGCTCCGCGCTCCGCCGCGCCGCGCCCGCCCCTACCTGCTCTCTCAGCGGCCGCGGCCCCCCGCCGGCGCGCCCTGCTGCCCCTGGCCCCGGCCCGCCATCGCCGCCGCCCGCGGGGGCCGCCAGGGCTCGCCTCGCTGCCGGTGCCGGTGCCGGTGCCGGTGCCGGTGCCGGTGCCGGTGGCGGGGAGGGGCGGGGCGGGGCGGGGCGGCCCCGCCGGCCGCGCGGTGCTGAAGGGACAGCGGCCGCGCGCCGCCCCCCTCAGCGGCGGGAGGCGGTGGCACGCGCGCCCGTCATGGCGACGACCCCCGCGGCTGCCGCCCGCCCCCGCCGCTCCCACCTTCGCCTCCGCCGCCGCCCCGGCCCGACCCCGCCGGGCGACCGGGGCTGCCGCTGCGGGACGGCGGCGCGGAGCCGGGCGGGCGGGCGGCTGGGGGGGCTGCCCGGCTGAGGAGGGGCGGCCCGGCGGAGCCGGTGTGGCGGCGGTGCCTCCGCGCGCTCGCTCTCGCTGCTGCCCCCGCGCACCGGCGCCGCGCGGGGACGGCAGCGGCGCCGCACACTCGTGTTTCCTCCACACACTCCCCCCCCCTCCCGCTCCCCGCCGCGATCCTGCCTCACGACGGCTCCCGGCGGCACAACTTCCCGAGGCGGGGGTCACCCGCCCCGCAGCTACTCACCCCTCCCGGCCCTCTGCCCCCTCACCCTGCTGGCGGGGTCCAGGGAGAGCGGGTGCCGCAGCCCACCCCCCCACCCCCCCCCCCGCCGCCCGCCCACGGCACGAGCGGGTCCTGCCGCCGTCCCCCACGCTGCCCCCACGCTGTGGCGCCTGGGCAGTGTCCCCGCGGGACTGAAAATGGGGAAGATGGAGGGGGGGCACTCCTTAGAGCAATTCGGTGTGTGAAAAGCGGGGTGAGTCTGCCTTGCCGCTCCCCTCAGCCGCCGGCTAGAAACCCCCGACCTCCCCACACAACCCTCTCCCCGCGATTTCGGGAGGTATAATCCTGCAAGACTGCACCAGGGGTGGGGGGGCCTGCCTTCCCTGCGGTGCTGCTCTTGGCGGGGCATGTGGAATAATGTCTAGTGACACGGTCACCGGTGGCAGCGTGTCTGCCCACGCTGGAGGCGTCTGTGAGTAAATGTCCCTCCTCTTGCTGAGCCCGGTGTGAGGCCAAGGTTCCCCGGGGAGAAGCCTGGTCCTGGCAGCTGTGGGAAGCGGTGGCCATCGCGGCGAGCGCAGGCACTCCGAGACAGGCAGGTGCTCTGTACCTGGCAAACCCGCATCGTCTCCTGCCAGCTATCTCGTGACCGCCTCCCCCCACTCGTGGTCCCACGCATCCCACCCAGTCCAGCTCCTAGAAATGCAGTGCTGCCAATGCTTTGCAGGACTGGGGGGTGCAGGGTGGATGAAGCCTTGCTTTACCCAGCCCAGGCAGCGCCCCAAGAACTCCAGCCCTGTGCATCGACCTTGGCTTGTTCCTCAAACCCTTGGAGGGGGAGACAGGTCATACATCCCGACCCCAGCAGCACGTGAGCCCTGTTTAGAAATAACCCTCCCCAGTATTAAACGGCCCCATAAGAGCCCAGGTAACTGAGTGCAGACATGGAGTTGGGCGCGTAAGTCCCGGTGCAAGACAGTGGCCAGGTCTTTAAGAGCCTGCTCAGCCTTCCTGCCTGGGGTGTTGTGATCACCCCACCACATTCCACGAGTGCTGGTGTGGCCGGAGCCCCCACACCTCTGGTCACACTCCCACTGCAGTGTGCACGGACCTATAGCACCCTCAGCCCGCCTAGGGTTGCTTTAGAAGATCCATGCTTTGCGCGATGCTACAGATGCTGCCCCTGCTTGCCTTTTCTTGGGTGGTGCTTACTCTCACTTTGCTTTCTTGCTGGTGAGTGCCTCCTGCCTCCCTTTCCCATTTCAGTCCTCCAGCATCTCCCTCCCTTTTCTACAGATGCCCTGAGTCAGGGCTCTGGGTCCCAGTGACACCTCACGGGAAGTTGAACCCACACAATTATGCACACCAGGCTACCCTCCTGTCCAGGGAAAGTGCTGCTGCTTCTTGGTTTAGTCCCTCCAGCTCTTCCCCTCCTGGGACGGGGCACACAGCAGGCAGAGACTGCACGTAACAGGGAGGAGGCTTCTCAAATGCAGCAGCAACCTGCACGTTTCCCTGTAACAACAGCTTTTCATCTCCAGAGAGGCAGCTCTCCTGCTTCCCAGCAGCAGTATAGCTGTTAGGTTAGTTTGTGACAGCCTCCTCCTTTCAGGGCTTTGCTGGTGAATCACTCACTGGGGAGCTCTAATTATACCGGCTTTTAATGCTTGGGGCATGGGATGGCAGGACACAGGACTGGGAACTACCATGTTGGGATTTCTGAGTTGGATACCCCCCCATGTTCCCCAGGGCTTGGATAAATCACAAAACTTCTCTGCTGTAATTTCCCACTCACTGTTAGGAGAACAAAAATAACTCATATTCTTTAGTGACGTTGCAAGGATTATTGAGCTACTGCTGGTAGTGCATTCAAGTGCTGTCTGTGTGTTTTCACCAGATCTGCGCTATCCTAGGTAACTAGTGGGGGCTTTAAACATATTGAGACATCTTCAGCAAATTTGTGAAAAAAAAAAAAAAATCATTAATTTTCTTTCTTGTTCCTAAATCAGATCTTTTTCCCGTAATGTTGCTTTGGAAGAAACTAAGTGGAGATGGTGTTCAGAGGCTTTTCAAGCTTTTATACATTGTTCTCACTTTCTAAGCCACTCGTGTAAGAAAAAGGATTTTAGGCAGCCTCATACTGATTTATCCACCTCTGTTCTTACCTTTACGCTTGAAAAAAAACCACTGGCCACTTTTCTAATCTCTATTTTCTCATTAAAAGGCACAGTGAAGTTTATGCAGAAATACTGGAGATAAACGGTGAAGTAATATAACTGTGTAAGGATACAACTCCCCCTAGTCTAATATAACTGTTCGTGTAATTAGGGCTAATTGGCTCAGCCAGAGTATTTTGCTAATAAGGCTAAAATGCTTCCAGCACCTGTGATAGTAATCCAAATTCCATCTGAATGTTTCTGCAAGGCATGCCACTCTGCTCCACAGGCACACAAGCAGGTCTGTGGTGTTTTGCCTTTCCCAACAGTAGGTACAGGATGAATTGCTGTGGACACACTATCACTGGTGAAATCCAAGGCAAGAGATCTGCTTTGATATGTCAAAAGGAATCAGATATGTCATTTTAGCACAAAATGAGCTTGTGATGTATCAGATAAGAACAAATTTTGGGATGCACTAATAATAAATCACATGAAGCCTGTGGAGGAGCCCACACCAGGGCAGGTGTCTGTGCTTAAAGGAGGCCAGGACTCTGAGGAGAGAAGCAGCCCCAGCTGTTGTGGTTCAGCACAGGGAGGATTGCAACACATAGGGGTGACCCACGCCAGAGCAGCACAGGAACGGCTGCAGCCTGTGGGGAGGACTCGCTGTGGAGGTTTGTGGAGGACTGTCTCTGGTGAGAGGGGAGCCATGTGGAACAGGAGAGGAACACGCGGTGTTCACCCCAGCTCCCATGAAGGAAGGAGCAGCGAGCTGACTGTAACCCCCATCCCCTGCCCCCTGCATTGCTGGGGAGGAGGTAGAGAGATTGGGAGCAGAGCTGAGTTTGGGAAGAAGGGAGGGGGGAGGTGTTTTTTGGATGCGGTGGCACTTCTCACTGTCCCACCTTATCTGTTAAGTGTTGTTTTTTGCTAGTGTTTCCATTAATGTGATGTTCTTTTTTTCCCCTAACAGGTCTGTCTTTTGCCTCTGACCTGACTGTAATGGGTGAGCCACACCTCCCCGTCCTTATCTGGATTCCCAAGCCTTTTACTTTATTTTCTCCTTCCCATTCCTGAGAAGGAAGGGGTGAGTCAACAGCTGTGTGGTGCTCAGTTGCCATCTGGGCTCAGACCAGGGCAACTGGGAAGAATGCAAGAGGAGTGTTGAGGTGGGACTGGATGGGAATTTAAGGAAGTGTGGAAGAACTGGCTGTTGGAGTGAGGAGATAAACGAGTGACTCATATCACTCTAGGGCAATATTACAAAAGCTCAACTAACTTTGAGTCTGCTCGTTATAGTTGTTGACTCTGAGACTGTGTGAGAGAGAAAGGGCTTGTTTTATTCGTACATGTGGTACCGTGTTATTTAAGGAACATGAGAAGGTGTCAGCACTGTGTAAAAACATGGGATATGTACAGGTGCCTGTCAGGGCTGGCCTGGCTCTGGAGACATACTAACTGCAGGGTGTTTGGCTATACATCCTTCTTTGGGCTTGTGGTGTCCTGAACTGCGAGGGAATGTGGAAATTATTGCCATGTTAATGACTGACTCAGTGTAGGAAGCTGTTGCCTAAGAAACCATGTCCTCAGACATCTCCTGTCTGGTCCCTGTTGGCTGTCCCACCACTGCAGCAGCTGCACTACCCTGCAGCAAGGTTAATGCTTGAGGGCATGTTGCATTCTGCTCCACAGGCACGGTACACACATACCTTAGATGCATTTTCGGCTTTGGAAGAAGTGAAACTGCTACGACTACTACTACTTCTACAGTGTTAATGTAGAATACTGAATAAGCTCTAAAGGAAGATATGGGACCTAAGTCAGTGGTTTTATCAGCACTTCCAGTGCACTGTGAATAGTTGCACTTTGGACTCGAGGACGCAACCATCTATTAGGTGGAACTTCAGTCTGAACTCAATACTTACTGGAAGGTCCCCCTCTGGCCCTGGAGCCAAATTCAAATGTACATACTTGTTAACCATTTCCTTTTGCTCCAGATGGATTGGAAAAGCCTGGAGTCTTCATGTGTTAGTTTAAGATCAATAGATATGATCTGTTTTATTTCACAAAGCCTCACAGGTGGCTGGGAGCAAAGCTGAGATCCTTTTGTGATGGCATTCCTATTGCCACAACTATTGATGGTGGTGAATATGTTTAAAAGAAATAAAAATAGTTTTGCACATAATGCTCATTTAAATACTGGAAAAGGACTATTGCACCATACTGCCAAGTCTAAAAGAATGAATAAGTTGAAAATGGATTTAATCAAATTCATAAA